CGCTGTGCGCATCGCCGTGAGAATACTTTCTTGTTGTGGTGCTTGTGCCTTTCTGCCGCAAGCAAAGCAAGAAACAGGAGCGAGAGGGGGAGTAGTGCACACGTGTGATGCTCGCAAGCACAACCGCACGCATGCAGCTGGCAAGGTGCAGAGCCTCACACACAGCAAGGAGACGCGGGAGCCATAAACAGGCCAGCGCACAAGCACAATCGGCAAGGAGGCGCGACCAACGCGGCACCGCAACAACAACACGAAGCACAGGTACGGCACAGCAGTCCATACTACTCCAGCACCACACAGCGCCACTGTAGTCCAACCACTAGCGCCAGCCACACCAGCAACTCGTCTGTCACACACGCACATAGCAATCCAGCGCACAGGCATCACAGCGCGTGCCAGACCCACCTAGCGCGGCACACAGAACGAGGTGCAAAGCCACCAACAGCGGCGCACCACATCCCACACACGTCCCTTTGCAAAAGGGAAACAGAGGACTTTCTCCCAAAACACAGATCCCATTGAACCGCACAGCAAGCAGACGGTAAGAGTACACACAATCATGGCAGTGCCCTCCACATTATCGCCCAGACGTCCCGGACCGAAACGAGGCGCCGCGTCCACAACACGTCAGCCGCATCGGCACCACAAGGGTGGCGTCCGACAACGTCGAGTCCCCCGCAGATGCTTCGGGGCGCCGCCTACCAGCAGAGACAGCGAAAGATGCGCACAGCCACACACAAGCCTCCCGGACGAGAAGAGAAGCGAAATGCCACTACCGCACAAACTACAAAAGCTACAGCAGCGTGGCACCGATGTGGCAAGAGGCTCTCCTCATCCTCCGAAGCACGGGCCTCCTAGTCAGCGTCGCAAAACAACGTACCCACGTGAATAGAGCAATGCCAAGAAGCCCACACCAGCTGCCTTCCTGACGTGATTATTAGACAAGCGGACCTTCGCGTCAATGGAGAGCATCTGTACAACTCTCGTTGCTTCGGTGCTTTGGCCCACCGCACCTCGTGGAGCAGCCACCAGAAGCACAGAGACCACCAGCCCCATGCATACGTGCAGGCAGCAGTCCACCCCACCAGGGTGCAGTGCTCGCCGCCCCATAGTCACCGGTCGAAGCAGCGGCTTCGTGGCGTTCAGAGTACCTTCCCCGGGCGACTGTGTCTCCCATCACAAATACAACAGGAGGGACAAAGAAATAGATAGAGCGGCGCAAGTGCGACTGGTGGCAGCCCACACAGCGCACTCAGCAGCAGCAAAAGACGGATCGAGTGGGAGGCCACGCAGCGAGCCCCTTCAGTGGGGCACACAGCAGCTGGGTTCATGCTGCCGCCCTGCTGGGGTGGAGGACCGGCACCTCAGCCGCCAGCACCGCAGTGCGCGCAACGCACACTATGCACCGCTCCGCTGTCGCCGCGCGCCCACCGCCACGTCGCCGCGGTGCCAGCACCACCCGTCACGTCGCAGAAGCGGTCCGTCACACCCGCAGGCTCCGGGCAGCGCAGACATGCCGCACAACAAGGCACACGCCACGGCCACCATTCGTCTGCGGTCGTGCATATCGGCAGCGCAGACGCGTGCGGGGGCGGGGGCGTGCCGCCACACTACACCGCC